TTTAAAAAAAAAAAAATAGGTGCTCTCTCCAGTCTCTACTTATGTATCCATTATTTTCTTGAATAAAAAAAACTTGATTAATTATTGCTTGCAATGTTGATAGGAAGAGAATAACTAAATTCAACATGTTTCATGGGAGACTGCTATACTGTACTCATAAACAGCCTTTTAAAATGCATATGAAACAGAAATGTTGCAAGTAAGCAAATATTTTCTGAGTACTCATTATGTTAAAACTAACTGGGGAGAAGTTAGGGAAAAACCTGTCAAGGTAAATAAACAAGGATAAGAAGTTTAGACAATTACAGAGATATTAGATGAGAGATATTACATTGTATTGTTAGGTAATGATAGCATCTCAGCTTGAACAGGGTGTAGCAAATTCAAAGTTAACTTAATTCTCAGGGACCTAAGAAAGGAAACTGCTTTGTTTACTTCTTTCTTGAGTTATACCTGGAAAACTATCACTTGGTTTGCACTGACCCTTTGAATGCTCCCCCTACTCTCACCGCTTTATTAAATCACTCCTGATGCTTTCAAACTCTGCCCTGTGGTTGGCTGCTTCTCATTCCTTCACCTCTTTATTTTTTAAAAGAATTAACTCAGCAATTAGGAGGATGGGCTAAAAATTAGATGACCAAAAATTTCTAGAATTTGAGAGTACTCAAGTAAAACTTCTTAAAGAAAGCACCAACTTACGTATATATATAACTACTAATACACATGCTAACAGCTTACAAGCCCATGCCATAAGCACCTCCTATTGTCCTCAAGACCTCTCCTCTGTGTGTTACAGAAGAGTTAATATAACAGAGTTCTCTTCTATCCCTTATTATAATAATAAATCTGAATGTCCAAGTTTTAAGTTAAAAAATCTACTTAAGTAGATTTTAAAAATCCAGATAAAATACAGTGCATACCTTCCCTCCTTTCATGACGCCGATCATGAGACTGTGAAGTTCGTTCATGATCATGCCTCCCTTTCTCTCGCACTGGAGAACGATGTCTTGGAGGACTCTGCTTTCTCTGAGGAGAAGACAGGGAATGTGAAGGATAAGGCGAAGCAGAACGTCGTAAAGGTGGAGTTATTGTCCTCTGATAAGATGGTGAAGGAGTTCGTTTTCGACGAGGAGAAAGAGAATGTCTTTGAATAGATGATCCTGACTGTGAGGAAGAGGAGTGATGTCTAGAAGAGATAGGAGAATGATGCTGTCCTGCAGGGGAAGTAGACCTATAAGGAAATAATAAAAAATATGTTTAAGAGCCTTCATTTCTAGCCAAAAGAAAATATATATATTTTTAAAATAAAACAAAAATAACTGCATGTAAAAAAGCTGAGTGTGAATAATTCTAGGATAAATTTTAATTCACACTGCTTTAAAATAATAAGTTAATTTTTAAAGATTTGATCGATTTTTAAATCAGCTCGAAGGAACAGTTCTAGAGGAGATATGCACTGCCTTTCTCCCAAGCTTTGGCTGCAAGGTAACATTCTCCCTGAGCACAGATGGTGTAACCCTTACTTAAAGTATGGAATTCATTTTTATTAGAGGTAATCTCTGACAGTGTGACTAGGTACTTGGAGGGGGTAACCCACAAAGAGCTAAAGAAAACACATACTGGTAAGATCTAGATAGAAAGCAGCTGTGAGAATGCCTACACTTCAAGGCTGTGGGAAGGGGAAAAACTTAAGTCAAACCTAGTCTGCCCTGCCTGAGTTGACATCTAGAATGGGGAAAAATTGCTAGGGTTAAGGAAAGAATGTACTGTCTATATAGTTGCATATTAAATAATCTGACTTCAGTCTTGGACAGCACAAAATGAGATTTAGTCTGTAAGTCTTGGTTTAACTAAGGCATTCTATATACCTTTTAAAATCATCTTTCATTGATGCCAAAGAAATAACATACTGAGTCACTCCTACCATCTATTATGACCTGGGCCCTGTCTACAATGAATATGCAAAATGTGTGCATAATGAAGAGCTGGAATACAAACATTTGTGCAATAATTAAAAACAGGACTAATATTTAAAAAATAACATTCTAGATATCACATACCCAGATAAATATCATATTCTTCAAATCATTTAGAGGGCTAGATGTTTACTCAAAAAACATTCTGAAGTTCCAGTCAAAGTATTTTAGAATTACCTTCAGTGCTTACAATAATTATTATTCAAATTTGGTGGAAACAATTTTTTTAGTTCAAGCTTTGAATAATTGAGCAATCGTATTAAGGTCAGAGTACCAATGTGTTGTTAAGTTATGGTTTCAGCTTTTAACCATATTTTTCTTCTTACCAATCCTTTAGGGAAAAATAGTTTATGAAAATTGATTTAATTTAAGCATTTGTTATATAGACTGAATTTTTTTTTAAAATTATATTTTATTAATTTTTTACAGAGAGGAAGGGAGAGGGATAGAGAGCTAGAAACATCGATGAGAGAGAAACATCGATCAGCTGCCTCCTGAACACTCCTTACTGGGGATGTGCCTGCAACCAAGGTACATGCCCTTCACTGGAATCGAACCTGGGACCCTTCAGTCTGCAGGCCAATGCTCTATCCACTGAGCCAAACCAGTCAGGGCTAGACTGAATGTTTGTGTCTCTCAATTTTTATGTTGAAACACCTACCCCCAATATGATGGTATTTGGAGGTGGGACCTTCAGGAGTAATTAGGCTTAGATAAGGTCCTAAGGATGGGGTTCCCATGACTGGATTAGTGTCCTTACTAGAAAAGAAAGAGACCAGAGCACCCCTCTCTATTTCTCCCCTTCATGTGAGGACACATTGAAAAGACAGCCATCTATGAGTCCTGCAGTGGAACCAAATCTGCCTGGCACCTAGACCTTGGATTCTAGTCTCTAGATCTATGAAAAATAAATGTCTATTTTTAATCCACTTACTAGTAGTCCATGGTATTTTGTAATAGTAGCCCCAGTTGGCTAAGACAGCATCTTTACATTCTCATTCTGTTACTGTTCTTTTAATTTGAGGACTGAAGAATAGTGAAAAAAGAGGATCTATTACTAAAACAAGATGGATCAAATTATGGATGTGAGACTGACTGGACCAAGAACTATGTTAATTCTGCATATATAAAAGGTGTGACTTTAATAAAATCATCTTGAAATATGATAAAATTATCAGTACTGTGGCTTCTAGACTATTGTGGAGATAAACAGTATTATATTACATTTCCACTTAGAATAGCAGTAATTTCAGATTAACTAGTTTTATGCTCTAGAATTGGCTGGTTTCTTATCTGAGGCATAAGAAGTGAAACTTAAAATTCAAATAAAGAAAAAGGGAAAGTGTAGTGCACAATGAGAAGCTTAACATCTTAAAATAGTTATCTGTATACTTCACCAAGAGAACTGTGACTTATAGCAAAAAGGGAAAGATGATCTTTAGCCTGACTTGGTTCCCATCAAAAGATTTTTAATGTTGCTATAATTAGGATATGATGTGTAATGAGAATATTCAGAGTATATTTTATTTGGAGAAAAATGTAAAAGGTTAAGAAATCAAAAAGAAAAACTCCTCATATTCAAGATGCAAGTAATTTCACTTACAAACCAACATGTTTACAACAGACTTTACTGATTTTAAAAATTTTTTATTGATTTTTAGAGAGAGCACGGAAAGGGGAGATTAAGGAAGAGAAGGAGGGAGAGAGAGGAAAACATCAATTTGTTGTTCCACTTATTTATGCATTCATTGGACCTTACCAGGAATCAAACCTGTAACTATAGCATATCAGGATGATGCTCTAACCAACTGGGCTACTGGCTAAGGCCTACCACAGACTTTCTTAAAATTAATAACACTGATGTTTCAGTCAGTAGTTTCTATTTTTCAAATATGAAAATATGCTTATGTAATATAACTAACATTCATAATTCAACCTTTAAAATCACCATGCAAAAAAAGTATACTTTGAAAAATATGGACACTATATTAAATTCAACTTTATTTCCAATAGTAAAATACAACACATTATTACATACAGAAATATTTAGGCTTTAAATCATTTTAATTCACTGAACAAATATTAAGTGAGCATCTTTTATGCTCCAAGCATTATTTTTTGCACTGAAGATAGAGAAGTGAAGAAGATGAACAAAACCACGAACATAATCACGATGATAATACTAACAACAGCAGGTAATAAATATATTGCTACTATGTGCATGACACTATTAACTAATTTCATCTTTATGACAACAACCCTATGAGGTAATTGAAGCAGAGGGCTGAAAACCAGTCTGTCTTAATTACAGGATCTAGGAGGAGACCACTTATTATAAAGAAATGCAATTTCAGCTAATCAATGCAACAAAGTCTACAAAACAGGGTAATGAAATAGAAACTGTTAGGTCCAAAAAATAGTTTGTCAGGTTGCTTACTAATAAGCCTTTAATAACTTGATGACATTTGAGTCAAGAGTTGAAAATCTGAGGGCAGAACTTTCTGTGCAGAGGGCTTAGCAACCACCCATGAGGCAGGAGAAATTATCCTATACAATAAAGCTCTAATATGCAAATTGACTGAACAGCAGAATGACTGGTTGCTATGATGTGCACTGACAACCAGGGGGCAGACGTTCAACCCAGGAGCTGCCCCCTGGTGGTCAGTATGTTCCCACAGGGGGAGCGCTGCTCAGCCAGAGCCAGGCTCAAGGCTGGCTGGCGAGCGCAACAGTGGTGGCAAGACCCTCTCCTGCCTCTGCTGCAGGTGGGCGGACATCCCCCGAGGGGTCCTGAACTATGAGAGGGCACAGGTCGGGCTGAGAGAATTTCGTGCACTAGGCCTCTAGTCATATATAATTTGAACAGAAAGAGGATAAGTGTTAAGTACAATTTATGAGAAAGTCAAGAGACTTATGAGAGAGAGACACAGAGAAGGCAGGGGCTAGATGATATAAAGTCTTCTAGGTCATGATGGAAGTCTGGTTTTATTCTAAGCATGAAGGAAATCACTTCATAGTTTTAGACAGAGAACTGTCATTCAAAATCTAACAAGATCTTACTTGCTTAAATATGAACATGGAGAAAGAAAATGTTCCTGTGTAATAATTTGTTTTAGGCCTAGTAGCTTGCTGTCCCTTTGGATCATGATAAATACTCCCTGGAAGGAGATCAATTCTAATTAAATGATCTAAAGCAGCTGTCGCCAACTGGTGGTCTGCGAACCACTGGTGGTCCGTGAGATCTGAAATGTTGGCGACCGTTGGTTTAAGGAAACCTTTGGAGCAGTGGTCGCTAACCGGTGGTCTGTGAGGTCCGAAAGGTTGGCGACCGCTGATCTAAAGAAATAGGAGAACGCTTATCTTTTGAAAGATATCTCCTTCAAAAATATATATAATGATGCTTGTAAAACATCTGATTCAAACAAACTAATAAGAAGTTCTAAATAATACAAGTAAATCTAAGCCAAATAGTAATTAATTTTAGTTAGATTTCATTTCTGCATTTATGTAGAAATGAAGTAATTTAAAGAAATCTCAATTTAAGAATGAAGAATGTTAAGATAATCCCTACATCAATACATCCATCAATGATATTCAGAATCAGGTTCAGGAGCCTAACACAGACTTGTTCAATCACATGACTTAGCTAGTAACTGTACCTACCATTGTGACCCAGAGTCAAAAGAGACAAGTATCTGGTATTCCTGGCACACAAGATTGTTTTTAAGCTCTAGGAGTAAGAGAGTCAGTATTCCAAATGCAGTAAAATTTAGAAGCAAAACGCACAAGCATAACATTAAGACAACTGGCTCCTATCCTCTACCTTGTTTAGTTAAAGTTATTTTCTTCAGGGATAGGGTGGGGTGGGATGGTAAGATGATGAAGAAGATGACCAGACCATGCCAAAAAAAAAAACAATACACAATCCAGTACTGGGAAAGAGGGTTCTCAAGTTCTGGTCCAATTTCCCAGGCCCATTATTTCCTCAGCTCAGGCCAACAAAATGGATGCCAAATAAGGGAGATTCTTGAAATCCCTGCCACTGTCCTGGAAGTTCTATCCAGACACAGGTCAGAACTGCCAGTGAAAAAATTACCATCAGACACTACTAAAGCACAGCCAGATTGGAATGGATGTCTGTTACTTCATTAATCTTATCACATACAACACAACCCCACACTTATACCAAATTAAGTTTTTGGCATTTACCATGATATGCATTTCTGATTGGACCAATTACTGAAACAGGACTAAA